TTCTTTCAAAAAGGTTAAGAACCACTGCACTATGCTACACAGGTCATATATATTACTTTGCCTACTTCAATATGTGATAATTCAGCCTTAAGCTCAGGGTCACGCCTACTCATTCTGCTGAGTTGGACCCTAGGATTCTACCCCAGATCCTCTTGTGAGGGCATTGCCACTCAAGAGGCAACCTCCTTTCTGGATTTTCAAAGAATCAAAAAGGTTAAGAACCACTGCACTATGCTACACAGGTCATATATATTACTTTGCCTACTTCAATATGTGATAATTCAGCCTTAAGCTCAGGGTCACGCCTACTCATTCTGCTGAGTTGGACCCTAGGATTCTACCCCAGATCCTCTTGTGAGGGCATTGCCACTCAAGAGGCAACCTCCTTTCTGGATTTTCAAAGAATATGTTTGTTCAACAGGCCTTTGAAAAGATGGTTAGGAGAGGCTGTGTTGTACTATCGCATGTTGATAACTTTACTAAGCTTTTGGCCTTATCGGTCTTATTTTCTTTAAAAAAATTATGGACTTAGTTGTGATATGTATTTATCTCATTTTTTTTTTATCGTGGACTTACTTGAGAAGCTTTTATACCTGTGGCTATGCATATCACATCTCCATTCTAACATCTCTCACTCGATGTGACTGACAGCAGAGGCACCGGTGTCTAGGAGAAAACCAAAGAGCTTTCAATTTTTCTTTGCATTTCTTGCTGGCCAGCATAAAAATGAAAGGGTTGAGGGAACTACTAATAGTGCAGATTATTTCTGTGAGCTTATAAAAGGTAAATATCAGGTGTATGTTGTCAGCGTTGAGTTGGTACTTCATCCTGTAAATTAGCACTGCCAGTATCATGACATGGTAAGGAATGAATGCCATAGCAAAAACAATCATGGCTGCAGAAACCAGCATCAAAGGCTTTATAATTCTTTGCCTGCTCTGTTGGTGCTTCCTCATTTTCTGTAAGGTTTTCAGAATTAAGACATAACATGTGAAGATGACCACAGTGGGAATGAGGAATCCAAGTAAGACTCTGGAGATTGTGAAGGGCACCACAAAGTACAGAGTTGCTCCAATATTGTCCAGGCAGGCAACTGATCCTCTTTGGACTTTAAATGTATAGTAAACATTAGGGATGGTTTCAATGAAGATGATGTTCCATACAGCTGCAGTGCAAAGTAGAGCCTTGCTTTTATCCCACCTCTTTAAGGAGCGGAGGGGATGAACAGCACCTACATAGCGGTCAAAGCTAATCAGTGTGAGAAAATATATGCTTCCATAGATATTGATGTCGAAAAATGTTCTTCTGATTTGGCAGAATATTTGACTGGAGTATATGGCTTGCTTGTGTACATGGAAATAGACTGAGAAGGGAATCAGAAAGATCCAGGTGAAATCACATAGGGCCAAATTGAATAGTAATATAGTGCTGGTGGTCCATGATTTTATAGTACAAATATGGTAGAGTAGTGTGGATGTATTCCCCAGAAATCCCATTAGCAGAACTAAAAAAAAAAGTATAATCACAATGTAGCAATACCATTCCAGTCCAGTGTAGGGGGTGCAGAAGAGAATGATGCAAGTGGCATTTGCTGTCCACCCGTGGATTTTGCCTGAAATTGGAATAAAGAAGTCAACATATTGCTTTTGGAATGTTCAAGGATTTCAGGGAGTGAAAGGTGGGTTTAAGGGCCTTTAAGGGGCTTACCTCCGGATTGCTTTTTATTTATATGTGTAAGTCCATTTAAGAAGCCTAGGTTGATACCTGTTGCCCACCTCAAAGTTGAATCAAAATCAGCAATGTCAGCTTTTCTCTCAGAGTAAATAGAGAATGGAAGAGGAAACAGGTAAATCCAGTTGGGACCTACAGAGGGGGGAAAGGGGTTAATTCCCCTCCCCCACATCATGCTCATGATCTGCCCCTCCAACACCAGTTATTGGGTCAAAAATCCACAAAAGCCATATCAGGACTCATCATGTGAATAATACCAAATGTAGTTTGGCCCTGAGTTGTTTCAGAGGAGAGTAATAAAATTACGTTGTAAGGCTTCTGGCTAATGTGTTATTAGAATTTTCATTCCCATAATCCTGCTGTTTCTTTTGGAGAATACCCTTGTCTTCCTGCAATGCAATGATTTTGTTTTCTTTGCAATTAAAGCATTTATACATCGTGCTGCTTCCTACTTAATTTCCATGCTACTATCAAGCTTCCCATAATTATAGGTAAAAATGTAAATAGATAGGCATTATGCAGAATAATATTTAAATACTTCTGGTCCCATAGGTAACAATCCTGGTGTCTAATCATGTTGACTTAACTTTCTCAAATCATCCAGAGCCATCAAAAGATCAAGTTAGACCTAATGAAAGTAGCATGTGTGTTATCCTCACTGTCAAAAGCACTGGGTAGTAGCATGTGGACTAGCTCTACTATCCTACTGTGGCCATGACTTCTGCTTATATTGGCTGCCGGTTATGTGTTCAACAAGAATGTGAAACATTGCTGAGCTTGTGTTGATGTGGGAGATTTGACTAGATTGGTCAAGATTCTCCTTCACGTGGAAGAACTTAGGCAATTGCATTCATGAGCACCTACTGCAAGCACTGGTGGTGAAGAGGATCCCTTGTATAGGACTGATTCACATGATCACCACATAACAATGCTCATAGGAGAGGAGCTCTAATATATCAGAGGATTCCAAGCTTAAATTATTTTGTGTCTCCAAATGTAGCCAATTCTTTACAGTGAAATAGTCTGCATGTTTATTTCACTCAGTGACAAGTAATAGGCCTTTACCCTGTTTTCCTGCTTCACTTTTCCTCATTGTTGTGAGTTCCTGTGCCCTGCGAAAACTTTGGACAATGAAGCACTGAATCTCTTGCCAAGGATTGTCATTACAAGTTGCAACCACTGTAGCTTGGGGACTGCATGAGATGTAGCCTAAAAAGTAACCTCCTAAGCTTTGATTTTTAGAGTGGTGCCTCGCTAGACGATGACAATCCATTTCACTGAAATCGCTGTTTAGTGAAATCATCGTCTAGCGAAAAGCATTTCCCCATTGGAATGAATTGAAACCTGTTTAATGAGTTCCAATGGGGAAGAATCATCGTTGTCTAGTGAAGATCGGCCATAGGAAAGCCACTTTGCGTACCACCAGTCAGCTGTTTAAATAGCTGTCTTGCAAAGCTTAAGTCCCGAAAACACTTGTTTTGTGAGCACGGAGGGAGCTGTCAAAATCGTTGTCTAGTGAAAATTGGTTTGCAAAGTAGGGACCAAACATTGTCCAGCGATATTCCCCCATAGGAATCACTGTTTTGCGAATCGCTATAGCGATCGCAAAAAGTCGATGTCTAGTGAAAAAACTGTCATGCGGAGTAACTGTCTAGCGAGGCACCACTGTACTTTCTTCTTGAGCTAAGGGTTTGGACAGCCTCCAGTCAGATGAGTAATGCATGGGATCCACAAAAGATAGATTCCTTTCCCCCTCCCCCCCAGGCAAAGGAGATCTATAACTAGGGTCTCCCATGGTTTTGGTTTGGAAAAGTGTAGCTCTTAATCCTTTCTTGCCATGCTTTTCCTCAGTGCTGTACATGCTGTATTCTTAGCTATATGCATATGAAAAGGAAAGAGCTGTGCACCTAAGTTTGGTTCTAACAGTCAAACTTTTCTTAGTTTCCAATGTTTTGGAATGTTCCAAGATGCTCTAAAACTAATTTTTGCCAGATCAAATACCACCTTTTATCTGAAGATTGTATTATATTGTCCTCAGAGCACTTTCCCCCAAAGGTTGTAATATTACATTTCCTAGATCTTTTTAATTCATACATTCTGCATAATTTCTGAAGACCTAAACTTTATTCTTCTTTAGTTATTGTCTCTCCAACCTGAAGCCAGCTTGCCACTGCAAATTATGTTTCTTGACATGGCATTTTTGATCAGTTGATCATACTGCAGCCTAATGCACACTGAATTCATTTTTTCTTATTTTGTGTTTCTCATGTATGTTTTGAGATATTGAAAATAAATGTTCACAGTTTTGAATTTAGCAGCATTTAATCAAAACAGAAATACTGATTTTGCAAGATGTAGTTGCTAATGTGACATAGAATAAAGCACATCAATGATTTACCTTTGATTATTAATTGTGAAGCAAATTCCTCTTTTTATTCCTTAGTAAAGTATAATGAGCCATGTCAGTGGAAATGTAACACTTCATATTAATGTGTAATGTAGTCAAGGTAAAATGAATGGTTAAGATTGGCATTTATTATAATTAAAGGAGATTTTAAAAAAGATTTCTTGCTCTAAAATACTTAAATTATGCTATACAGTGTAAGCATTCATTGAAATATTGTACATTGCATGCATTCTGTGTATTCCTCAAGTAGTTATAATTGAAATTTCTATTATGGATAAAGCTATATTATACATATACATTAGTTCAAAAGCCTTCAGAATTGATTTAACATAGTCCTTATTGTCTTACCTTCTTTAAAATTGGTAGAATTGTCTGCAGCACATGATTTTGAGTCCCAAACCATCTTTTAGACTTACTCTTCAACCTTGTCAGATGTTCCGTGGTTCCACCAATAACCTACATACTGTGTGCAAAAACAATGAATGAGGGAGATGACATAAAAGTAAACCTATCTCCACCTTTTTAATGCCTAGGCTCCTCCCATTCATACAGAAAAACTAAACTACTCTTTCTCCTTCCATGCACTAGTAGGATGAAACTATTTTGTCCCTTGCCATAAGTTAAGAAACTGGTCACCTCATGGACTTTAGCTGTTTTTTCAGAGAATATGTTGACCAGTGAAATCAGCTCATATTTTGTAGAAAAAGATTATAATTTTAAGAAATGCTGGAAAACAAATCTGACTTGTACCATGTTAGCTCTCTCTCTCTCTCTCTCTCTCTCTCTCTCTCTCTCTCTTTGTGTGTGTATGTCTCTGTGTACACACACACAAATCTGACTTGTGCCTAAGCCCACAATGAGCATTCTCTTGGGGAGAACTGCAATCTCCCTCCCTCTCTCCCTTCCATATTCTGCACTGACCAACGGTGTCTCTCCTTGAAAAAGAAAATTTCTTGCTCTAAAATACTCATCAATCTGTATCTAAACATTTTTTTCATTAAATATCCAGTAACACATGGACAAGCTCTCAACAAAAGGCACTCACAGGAAACTTTGGAAATAGTAGCTAGTGGCAGCTGACATATCTGATCCATCCCATGTTGCATTGCAGCTTGAAATTACCACCACTTGTGTCAGCCTGCAGGGACGTGGTGGCGCAGGGACGTGGTGGCGCTGTGGGCTAAACCGCAGAAGCCTGTGCTGCAGGGTCAGAAGACCAGCAGTTGTAAGATCAAATCCACGCGACAGAGTGAGTGCCCGTCGCTCATCCCAGCTCCCGCCAACCTAGCGGTTCGAAAGCATGCAAATGCGAGTAGATAAATAGGGACCACCTCGGTGGGAAGGTAACAGCGTTCCGTGTCTAAGTCGCACTGGCCATATGACCACGGAAGATTGTCTTCGGACAAACGCTGGCTCTATGGCTTGGAAACGGGGATGAGCACCGCCCCCTAGAGTCGAACACAACTGGACAAAAATTGTCAAGGGGAACCTTTACCTTTACCTTTGTGTCAGCCTGCAAACCTCACAGCAGCAGACTGCCTCTCTGTTCCATCAGTTGCCGACATTCACTGTTTTCCCTCACAACACGGGAAATTATTACTCAAGAGTTCTGTTTCTGCTGGGAAACAGAAGAACGTTGTTTCTGCAAATGTTTGGTCTGATATTTTTTTCGTCAGACAGATAAGAAGGTGGAAGACCTTTCAATAATGAAACAGTAGTTCTTTTCTTTTCAGCTCCTCAAACAATCCATTGTACTTGTTTTAGTGTCCAGACTATGTCAACTTTAATCACATCGTATGGCTTCATCTCTCTCATCCATTCAAACACTAGAGCCAGTTGCTTTTTTTTAACAACCCATGACTGTTAGCACAGATAATAGCAGTGGGTGGGTGGAAATAACCAATAAGTTGTAAATATAATTAAGGTGAGGTGATGAAATATAAATACAAGTCGAGTTGGTTCATGAGCACAAAACAAACAGAACCCATAATCAAAAATTACATTTATTAGGGAACATTATAATTTCTCTGAGCATGCCTGCTTTCGAGTTCTTCAGAATGTTTCATCAAGCTAGCTGATAATATAAAAATTGGCAAGAGGTGGAGTATAAGTCACATGGGAGTCCAAAAGTTTATCTAGACATCATGGCCATGAGAACTACAGTGAAACTCAGTCCAAAGATGAAGATAGTAGGTAGCAGGTTACATCAAACAATGCGTACTGAGATGGAGAAGAAACAGTGGGTCCCCATCTCTAATAACAAGGCTGGTTGCAGTCCAGAAATCTTCCTTTGCCTTGAACCAGGAGAAACATACACAGGCTCTTAAGCAAATATAGAGTCAAACTAGGTGTTAAGGGAATGGGTTTTCTCAGCAGGATTTCCTCAGAGACACTTGCCACAATAATCAATACAATTCTGTTTATATTACTTTCAGTCATGGCTTTAGTCCATGAATGGTTACTTGGACTAATGAGTCCAGTAGGTAGTTTCAAACATTAGGGCTGTGCTAGGTCCTCAGATCCCAATGCAATGTTTCAGGGTGGAGCCCTTTATAGCCCAGAGCAATTTATGTCCCATCCAGTTTAGTTTGTGCCTTGAATCTGAATCCATCCTTCATTTTGCTGTGGTTTGGAATGAAATCTTTCTGCTTTCATGTAGACTTCATACAAATACAGTAGGTTGAAAGCAGGCCAATTTGATTAGTAATTCAGGCTTCAAGTTTAATAAGGCACAGCCTTGCTAAATATGAGGGGTTGCATAGCTTCCCAGAAAGTAGAAATGCTTTCACAAAACCTATCAGTGTCAGCCTTTTGATTTATAAAATGTCATCATTTCCACGGTGTCAATTAATGATTTTGTATTATTCTTCTCTTCGCTTTCCATCCAGAAATATCTCTCCTGGCACTTGGTCATAATTTATTTATGCATTGCCTCCTTAGGGGGGAAAAGTATTAATTTATTTATGTATTGCCTCCTCATGGGCCAAAAAAGTGTTAACTTTTTAGTGTTTAAAGAAAGTCTGCACTCTGCTTTTTTTTAAATTAAAAAAACCCTACACAGGATGATAACATTATGTAAGGGTGCTTTTGCAACTGCTGTGTCTGAAATCAAAAGGGCTAAGTTAAATAAGCTTTATATTCTGCCCCTGAAGATGGGCATATCATTATTGCTCTAATTTAGTAATGTTCCTTTTCATCTTCTAGCAATAAAAATATGATGTAAATCTCCAGTTAGGAGACTAATGATTACCCTGTTATTACACCACCAAGCAAAATTCTGCTGGCAGGTATAATTACTATTCTGAATGGTTGAGAGGCCACAATAAAAAGTGATTTCCTTACATGTCTCAGAAATGATGTTCAGTAATATTGTGGCATTTAGGGTGGCCGGGTCAGCAGTTTTCCATTCCCCTAGATTTGAAGGCCAGAACACAAAACCAGGGAGCAAGGCCTTGTGGTATCACAGTGAGTGGGTCGTTGTGCAACAATTGCAAACTAATGCATCTCTGTGTGTGTGTGTGTGTGTGTGTGTGTGTGTGTGTGTGTGTGTGTGTGCATGTGTACATACTGTATGTGAAAGAGCAATGTATACAATACAGATTTCCTACACTTCCTTCTAAACAAATATTGGGTATGTAGTATACGTCCACACATTTGCACTGAGCCAGTGGACCTTAGTGTCATCTGGGAGGGAGGAAGAGATGGATGCCCAGGTTTCAAAGCCACTGCACCGACAAACCTCCAAATATACCGGTTTTCCTCTACCACCTCTTCTTCATCCAGAACTGCTTGCTCTGAAATTTGCCTCTCTGGGTGGAGAATGGAGGAAACAAAGCAAATCCCTGAGACTTCAGCTGGTAACTCTTCTTGCCTTTCCGTTACCCAGAAACTACTATCCCGTTGTCTTGTTCAAGAGGGTTGTAGAGGCCTGAAGCCTAAACAATTAGAACAGTGAGCCCCGATCCTTCTTAGGCATTTCCCTACCAGTTGTCTGAGGGGTGCTGTTGGATTTGGCCTTGTTATTCCAACTCCAGGCTGGAATGAGGCCATTCCAGAAAGCCTCGCCAGTGTAGTTCTTTGCGATTTCAGTGAAAGGGAGGAAGGGAGGAAGGTGTTTGCAGGTAGCATGTTGGGCAGCTGTGTTTGGGAGCCCAACTGTCATGTCAGCCAGTCTTTCTGTGCCTTCCAGCCTCTGCTTTTCATAGCTGCTGTGACAGCAAAAACTTGTGCAAGAAGAACTGGAAGGTTTCTTTGTACAAACCTGGAAAGAGAACAACCAATTACATGACAACGAGTTGCACAAGTGTTGTATTGCAATTAAATCTTATCCTTCATCTACATATTCTTTATCTATTCCAAGAAGACCATCAAGAAAATATAGAATATTGAGGGAATTGCTCTCTTAAGCGATAGTTTTATATGTCCCACTCCATGGGAGCTACAGCATGGCAGCAGTGTATTTAAAAATGAATGGTTATCTAGACAGATCATTGCAGAGTTTTGAATTTCTAGTTGAATTCCTCTAACTGTGCAGCAGAAGTACAGGGATTCACAGAGCAGAATTAGCTTCAAGTTCCCCAGAACTTGGTCTACCATTTGTTTCCTCGTCAACGGGCACTTACAGTCTCAGTAACTCACTCAGAAACATTTGAAGCAGAGAGAAAAAGTTTCATTTGCTGTCAGTGAACAGATAACAGCAAGCCAAAACATGACTGCTTTAAGCAAGAGGCCTCAATAGACTGAGACTACTTCCAACAGGCAAAAGAGAGGGGGAAACCTAAGCACGGGGGCAGAGCTCTCTTTGAATCAGAGGCAGGGAAGGAATGATTGGCTAGTGCTGGAAGGATCGGCAGCCTCCACAGCCCAGAATGGTCCCTCCAAGTCATACCTGCTAGAGGCAGCATATGAGGTTGGTGGTGGCGGGGGAGTCCGACACAGATTCTATAGTGAAAGAAGCCAAGGATGTGAGTTACATTTCCCAAGCTATGTGAATGAGTACCCGGCTGTTACAGTGTAAACAACTGATTTATAATGGAGCTGTTGACTAGTTCCTTAGGATAAGGAACTGCAGATTTGCCTGTTTACTGGAGTGTGATTCACCACTATGTACTCCACTTGTGTTCTTTCCTTATCATAAAGAGCAGTGTGTGTGTGTGTGTTCTGTGCTGTCAAGCTGGAACCAATTTCTAGTGATCTTTTTAGGGCTTCCAAGATATGTGAAATGTTAAGGAGTAGTTTTACCCATTCCACACCCCCAGTTAGCTTCCATGGCCAAGTGGGGATTGGAACCCTGTTCTCCAGAGTCTTAGTCTATCACTCTATCCACTACACCACAAGAGCAGTAGGAACCTGTTAAAGGAGAAAGTCTAATCTTTGCTAATCATGCTTTCATTGCAGGTCAGTTACTTCGACTGAAAATGTTCCGAGAGGATCATGGATCTTGGATGACAATGTTCTTCAGCACCATTCTTTTTCTCTTCATTTTTTCTCACATATACAACCTGTGTCTCCTTATGGCTGGTACCATGAGGTAAGATATATTGTTTATCTATATCAAATCCTTCTAATTCTATTTTGTGGTAGATACATTGCCCACAATCACCAGAGGATGAAGCAAATTTATACAGATATTTCATTCATACAGTTGGAGCGCTGTGGTGTGAATACTTCCATAATTCAAAATTGTATCTGGGTGGAATAATATAATCTGAATTTTTGAGGTTTGCTTAAAAAGATAAGAGTGCATTGATTCTGAGCTCACATGGATAAGAAGGTAGCGTATTTCTGCATTCCGTCCTGGTTATCATTACCTAAGTCATGGATAAGCAATAATCTCAGTCCCAGAGGATACCAGGAGGCAGAGCTCTGCTCTAAAGTCTGCCTTCTCCCTGTTACAGTGGTGCCCCGCTTGACGACGATAATTTGTTCTGTTAAAATAGCTGTTAAGCAATATCGTTGTCAAGTGACAGTAAAAAACCCATTGAAATGCATTGAAAACCGGTCAATGCGTTCCAGTGGGCGAAATACCTCATCATAAAGCAAAGATCCTCCATAGGGGAAGCCATTTTCAATTGCTGTCTTCTGGAAATATGTCCGGAAAACAGCAGGAGGCCATTTTGAAAACCCAACAATCAGCTGTTTTTGATCATCGTGAAGCAAAAAATTGGTTCCCAAAGCAAGGACCGATTCAACGTAAAGCAGAAAACGCAGGAGGCCATTTTGAAAACCCAACAATCCGCTGTTTTTGATCATCGTGAAGCAAAATTTGGTTCCCGAAGCAAGGACCGATTCAATGTAAAGCAGAAAAACCCCAAGCGATTTTGTCGTCTAACGGGGTCATTGTGAAGTGGGGCACCACTGTATCACTATATACACACCACTCTTTGCCTTCCCAATTCACAGGGTGAGCATAGTGGTAACATGATAGTGGTGATTTTTCTGTTATTGATCAGAGATAACAGCGGGAGTCCCCTAGATCAGTGGTCCCCAACCTTGGGCCTCCAGATGTTCTTGGACTTCAACTCCCAGAAATCCTGGCCAGCAGAGGTGATGGTGAAGGCTTCTGGGAGTTGTAGTCCAAGAACATCTGGAGACCCAAGGTTGAGGACCACTGCCCTAGATGACATTTGTCTTCTCAGCTACAAAGAGTTAGAACATGTAAGAGGACCCTCCCTCACTCCAGGAAGTGAGATGAGGGCTGATGTCCCCAGACCATTCGTGGACCAAATTAATTCTGTTCATCTGATTAGGCTGACAGTCCTTTGGTTCCCCTTCATGACCAAACTGCTTTTTCTGCACTAAGTCCCAAGGCCTGTTCTGTGCAGGTGTACATAGAAATGAATGGATGGGTATCAGATTTGGGCCTGAATTTCCAGATTTGGAAGTTCAGGCCCAAATTTGATTTTCTAGAGGAAAAGAGCACAAGCCAGAATCTTTCCTGCGTCCACTCACTATCTTTTTGGAAAAGCCTGCTGTCACCTTTATTGGACCAAAGAAAGCTTGAGGAAGTAATGCTTATATTTTGAGGATGAGAATGAGAATGTTTCAGCCTGGGGCAGGAGTTTTAGGATCTGGAAGGGGGAATGGAACGTGGTGAGCAGAAAGCAAAGTCATACTATATTTGAATGAGGGAAGAGGCCATGGCAAATGTATCACTATATATCTTGGCTGTCTTCCATAAGGCTGACACAGTCCCCGTGGGCTGGGTGGCAAAGAAGGTGGAGTAGACCAGCAGGTCTGCCTGTGAATTATGATGAGGGAGAGGATGGACTGAAGTTCTTTTTCCTTGGTGGCCTAACCTGATTTGGCCAGGCATATAGAAAAAACTGTCTATGGTTTGTTTGAGAAATAGCTATTTGAAATTAAACAGATTTTTTAAAATTGTTATACAGCGGAGGTTGTAGAATTATTGTGTAATGAAACAGGTATTATTTCAAGGGTTGTCACATAACCCTCTGAGGTCTGAAGGCAACACACATCTGCTCCTGGACCTTGGAAGCCCATGCTCACACCCACTCCTGTGATACAACCACCCAAAATATTTGTTCTTAAACTGAAAAGTACCCTTCATACCCTCTAGTGGTCGAACATTAGAAATGTTCTCCGTGGGACCAGAGGTGGAGGCCTCAAACATAGAAAAACTGTTTCTCACACCCTCTGGAGAGCACAAATGGCTCATATGAATGTCCCTCCCCCTGGTGTGTGTGTGTGTGTGTTTATGTGTGTTAAAGTAATAAATCATGGTATAAGAATTCTCGCATGAGAGTGTGAGGTGATACTAACTAAATTTGAAGATGACATTAAACTGGTAGGAGTAACTAATACTCTAGATTCTAGATTGACACAGGATTGAAGATGAACTAAACAGGTTGGATGACTAGGTCAAAGCAAAGAAAACGAGTTTCAGCAGGGAAACTATAAAGTTCTGCATTTAGGCAGGAAAAACTAGGTGCCCAAATGTAAGATGAGTAACAGCTTTCTTCACAGTAGAATATGTGAAAAGAATCCAGGTGTCTTAGTAGAGAGCTAAACGTGAGTTAACAAAAAATGCCAACGTAGTACTTAGTTGCATCAACAGAAGTCTAGACCAAGGTAAGCAACAGCTCCTCGATATTTTACAGGTTTTATCAGCACACAACTGGAAGATGATGTTTAGTTCTGGGCACCCTAAGGAGGGTATTGACAAACTGGAGGATGCTCAGAGAAGAGTGAGCAGGATGTTAAAAGGTCTGGAAGCCAAGCCCTGTGAAAAATGGTTGTGGGAGCTGGGTATGTTTAGTCTGAAGAAAAGAAGACTGAACAGCCATATGAGACACAGGCTTTAAAGACAGATTTCATTTTATGGCAGGGCATTAGCCTTGATGCCCTTTGGGTACCTCTCAGTTCTATGATTCTGTGACAATCACTTTCAAGGTAGTATCACAACACTGTACAATTATGCAGTGGTTCCTCTCAGGAAAGGGAGAAGTGACTTCCTCAGACTGCAGCTCCTAGAATAACCCAGCCATGTAGGTCACAGATATTTTGGAAGCTGTAGTCCTAAAGGGTAGCATTGGCTTTGTCTGTTCCTCCTTTCTCCTTCTGTCCCCCACATCCAACGAGAAAGTCTCTGTGTCTTTAACAATTGAACCTTTCTCTGCGCAAGTACCCCATCACCTCATAGGTAGCCGTTTCAAAAAGAGTTGAAAAGATACAGAAATGTGCCGTACGCTGAATTGAAATGAAAGTCCATTTTTTCACATATGCACCAACTGTATGCTTTCCCTCTTTTGTTAGCATTCATCAGTACATTTCTAGAGAGAAACACCAGAGGGCAGCAAAAGACTTTCAAAAATAAGAAATGGACCGACTGCCAGGCCTGCAAGTCTCGCCAACAGGGCCGGCATCACTGAAAACTGGGAACAGTTCCTCTATTGCTCACAGCCACATGTAGTGTTAAAAGTCTAATATCCTCTAGTATTACAGACCCATACTTGTTTATACTGGATAAAATAAGAAAAATAAATGATACCATGATCCTCGAGGTCACCTTTGGAAAGAAAGAAAATAAAAATGGCAACTTCCGTCTTGGGCCATACCCAGTGGGTGTAGTGGATCAGGGGATCGACTAGGGTTCAGGAGACCTGGGTTTGAATCCCTGCTCAGCTGTGAAATCCTCTGGGGAAGAGGTGGAACCAGTAAAATAACTCCTTAAATATATCACTTACCTCAAAAGCCCTATTAGGGTAACTAAAAGTCAGTTTCGACTTGATGGCAGGAACACCTTTTTTTTGCATCACTCAAATGCTACACACAAGATGAGCTTTGAAGCAGGTGGAGGCTAGCTCTGTTACTTGTGGGTAACAGAGCTGGTAAACCATTCTAAAATGGGTTCCTATGTTATGCCTGTTGCTCTTGAATGCAGACAGCTGCCATAGCAATATGGAGCTGATTGTTTCAGCTGAGAGAGAGGGATATGCAGGCATTATTTTATTTCTTTTTTTCCTGTGCCAACAAAAGGTTGGTTTTGAATAGAGCAGATCTCTACAAAATACTTACATTTACCGTATTTTTCGCTCCATAAGACGCACCTCTCCATAAAACGCACCAATTTTTTAGGAGAAGAAAACAGGGAAAAATAATCTGTTTTCTTTGCTCCATAAGACCCTGTTTTGTGGGAAAAAAGTGTGTCTTACAGAGCGAAAAATGCGGTAGTTTCTAATTTTTCTATAGTTCATAGGATCATAGAAAAATGGAGTTGGGCCTATAAAAGCCATGGAGTCCAACCCCCTGCTCATTGCAGGAATCTAAATCAAAGCACATCTGACAGATGAAGGCCTCTTGAATGCCTCCAGTATTACCACCTCCTGAGGCAATTGATTCCATTGTTGTGCTGCTCTAATAGTTTAGGAAGTTTTTCCTGATATTGAACCAGAATCTGCCTTTCTTTAACTGAGCCCATTATTATGTCTCCTGCACTCTGAAATAATTGAGAGCAGATCTTCCCCCTCCTCTGTACAACAATCTTTCAAGTATTTGAAATATTCTATATTTCTTTCCTCAGACTTCTCAAGGTTAAACATACCCAGTCATTTCCTCATAGGGCTTCATTTCCAGTCTCCTGATCATCCTTCTTGCCCTCCTCTGAACTTGCTCCAGTTTGTTGGCATCCTTCTTAAAGTGTGGTGTCCAGAACGGGACTCAATATTCAAGATGAGGACTAGCCACTGCTGAATAGAGGGGGGCTAGTATCTCTTGAGATTTGAAGACTACTGTTTCTGTTAATGCATCCTAGAATGGCATTTGCCTTTTCAGCAGCCACTTTGGACTGTTAGCTCATATTCACCTTGTGATCTCCATCAGTTTCAAAATCCTTTCGCTCATAGTTTTACTGAACCATCTTGTAACCATGCATTTGGGGGTTTTCCCCTAGATGTAGAACTTTGCACTCATACTGTTAAACTCCATCTGTTGTTTTCAACCCAGTGCTTGAACCTATTAATGTCTTTCTGAATTCCCCCCCCTCCAAGATATAAGCTATTCCACCCAATT